ACGCGCGCTTTAAACCTCCGCCAAGGAGTCCGCCTGAGCACCTCCTCCTCCATCTGTCTGCCTCAGACGAACATATTTTCATAAAGGAAATCTGTTGTGCACATTAATGCTCCCAGCAGGAGGCTGCCCAGGATTACAGACATCATCATCCCCACGATCACCATCATCATCACCATCATCACCTTCATCACCTTGATCACCACCACCATCATCACCATCATCATCACCATCACCATCATCACCGTCATCACCTTCATCACCACCATCACCATCATCACCATCACCATCATCACCACATCACCATCATCACCGTCATCACCTTCATCATCACCACCATCACCACCATCACCATCATCACCATCACTATCATCATCACATCATCATCACCATCACCATCATCATCATCACCATCATCATCATCATCACCATCATCATCACCATCATCATCATCATCATCATCATCACCATCACCACCATCATCATCATCATCACCATCATCATCGCATCATCACCACCATCACCATCATCACCATCATCATCATCATCATCACCATCATCATCATCATCACCATCATCATCACCATCATCATCATCACCATATCATCACCATCATCATCATCATCATCATCACATCATCATCATCCATCACCATCATCATCATGTCATGACCATCAGATCATGGATGTAATGCACCCGATGTGAGTCACCGTTATCATTTGAAAGCCTTGATGACTTATTAAAGAAAAAATATATCTTTGCATCCATTCAATTAATGGGGGCAATAAATGTAAAATGAGGGTGCTGTGCAACCTTTTGCCCCCTCTTAGAACCGGTCCTGACTTCAGGGTTCATCAAAAGTACAGATGAGGCCGAGACACTAGCAGAACACCTGAGGCTGCAGGTGTCACATACCCGGGAGCACCCAGACCCTCTGTAGGGAGTCACCGAGGGGGGAGGGGAGGGTGTGAACTATGGGAGCTCCAAGGGAATTGGGATTTTCCCAAAAATCTGATTCAACAATTTAATCGATTATTACCCCTTAAGAAAACATTTGTTACAAACTGGAGCAATAAAGAGTGATAGATAAACATGTGATATCTGATCATAGACATGAACAGACTCAGAGCGAACACACCCCACCTGTCTCTGACATGACCCTGTTTTTACTGCTAGCTTTTTTTAAACTTTGGAGAATATAGAATAGAAACAGCAATAAAAGCTGAGCACTGACGATTAAAGAAGATCAGGCTGCACAGAGGGGTTGAGTTGTTTCCCCTCTGCTGCAGTTTCCTCTCTCCATCACTCATCTTGTCTTCAGAGACGAGAACTCAGTTTTGGCCGCTTGGTGCTGCAGAGCTGCTCACTATTAGTGTCACTGTGTTGCACAATCATGCTGCTGAAAATAAATGTTTGCTTATTTTGTAAGGTCAAAAATGAGGATTAATATCAGAAGAAAAACTGGGTAACATTACAAATACATTGTCAGATTTTCTGATGGATACAGTCAAACAAATGTTTCATTTATGGATCAAATGATCAGTAATGAGGATGTCTGTGGAAGGTGAGTGTGAGGTTCTGAAATCGGTTTTAATTCAGTTATGAGGTTAATTAATGCAAGGTTATGATGCTCTAAGTGTATGTATGTGCACACTGTGTGGCCTCTGCACACCTCTGCAGCAGCTGGCTAAGCTAACCTGCCGGTCCTCTCCTTCTCCTCACGACAGAACCAGAACCACCCATGCACCGTCCGCCCCGCTGCACCGGCGCAGAGCTGAGGCCTCTTTCAGCCTCCACGACATGAACTTGGGTCGAACAGAAACGCACCAAAGCGAACAAACGTCGCATTGAGGCGCAGAGCTAGCAAACGCTGCGTAGTAGCATCTCCTGTCTGCAGCTGCATGAAGAGGAGCTGCTGCCCGGAGCCTCGTCCTGCTGATGATGTCAGTGTTCGAGCACGGGACACATTAGTCCAACATGAGCCGGCAGGGACTGACTGCAGCGGACTCTGATGTGTGCAGAACATGCAGGCGCACACACACACACACACATACATACACACGACGACGCACTTTGCACGAACTGCATCATTTCATACGTTGAGATGTGGCACAGATTAGAAAAAACTGATGCACGATGTCGAGAGCGTAATGTTTGATCGATTCTGTCAAATTAAAGACACATAATGAGGTGGGACAGTCCAGCTCGACGGCTGCAGGGAGCGGATCTGTGTGTCCCCGCAGCCGTGCAAAGAGCTCCACAACACGGTGCTGCAAATCAGGAAAAGCTGCATGTCTTACCGCATCAGTCCGGGCTCCCTGGCTCTGCTCATCCATCTTTTCACCAGGATGATCCGAGGCAGAACGAGAGTGGTTTCCCAATGACACATCGGACATGTGCAAAAGGTAAAGCTGCAATATCCGCCTTATTGGTCACACTCCTCCTCCCGAAGCGAGAGAGCGTAGTTGGTGGATTGCTGCGCAACCTCGCTGCACCATCCACA